TTAAGTGATTTCCCTATCCACATTTGTTTGCAGGGCACTTGTCCTACTCTTACCCCCATTTTACTTCCTTTTGCAGCCCTCTAGCCATTTCCAGGAGTTTTTTAAAGCCATTTTTGTGCCCAAAAGTTCGGGTCCCCATTGACTTCAATGGGGTTCGGGGTCAAGTTCAAACCTGAACCCGGACTTTTTTCAAAGTTCGGCTGAACCCGCCGGACCCGAACATCCAGGTGTCCGCTCAACTCTAATAGCTAGATGACTGAGTCAGAGCATCTCCAAAACGGCAAGTCTTTTGGGGTGCACCGGTTAGTTCCTGCCAAGATTGGTGCAAGAAAGGACAACCTATGAACCAGTGTCAGCGTCACGGGTGCCCAAGGCTCATTAATACACGTGGGGAGCAAAGACTAGCCGATCTGGTGCGATCACACAGAAGAGATACTGTAGCTCAATTTTCTGAAAAATTCAATGTTTACCATGATAGAAATGTATCAGAACACATAGTGCATTGCAGTTTGCTGCATATAGGACTGTGTGGCTATAGTCTGGTCAAAGTGCCAATGATGACTCCACCACCAAAATTGCCTTGAATGAGGATGTCAGCATTAGAACTGGACCATGGAGCAATGGGAGAAGGTTGCCTGTCTGATGAATCACATTTTCTTCTAGATCAGGTGGATGGCTAGGTGCATCAATTACCTGTAGAAGAGATGGCAGCAGAATGCACTATGGGAAGAAGGCAGAAGCGTTCAAGCAGTGTTATGCTCTGGGCAATGTTTTGCTGTGAAATCTTGGATTATGGCCATCGTGTGGATGTTACTTTGGCACTTACTACCTACTTAAAGATTATTACAGACCACGTACACCCTTTCATGGCAATAGTGTTCCCTGATGGAAGGGCCTCTTTCAGCAGGATAATGCACTGTGATACACTGCAAAAATTGTTCAGAAATGGTTTGTGGAACATGACAATGAGTTCAATGTGTTGCCTTGGCCTTCAATTTCCTCTGATCTGATTGAGCATCTGTGGGATGTGCTGGAATACAAATCTGATCCATGGAGGCCCGACCTCAAAACTTGCAGGAATAAAAGAATATGCTGCTAATGTATTGGTGTGAGATACCACAGGTCCTGTGGAGTCCATACTTCAATGCATCATAGCTGTTTTGGTAGCACGAGGGTGACCTACATGATATTAGACTGATGGGTTTGATGTTGTGGCTGATCAGTGTATATTACATAGATGACATCATTACATTTTATACAGTGTTTAAATAACATAATATTCTGCATTGCAAATCCGTAGAATATATTTCTGTCGCAAAGGTATATACATATATTTTTCATGAATTTCCCATGTGCATATTTAATGTCTGAAGAATGATGAATTATTCCCAATGAATAATATTAGGTTAAGGCATGAAAAATGATGTATTCCCTTCAATGCATAATATTGGAATATATATTTTTCAATATATCTATCACATGCTTTGATTGCTTTTTGAATTTTCTTGCATTCTAAGCCAATCCAAACATACATTGTGTTTCCTTTGATAACAGTACATGTAAAATCAATAAGTAGTAGGTCTAAAAAAAGATTACAATTAAGGAATATATTTTCAAAATTGTAGCATATGATGCTATGTCAAATCATGCATTTGCAATAGGATTATATAACTAATCATGTTTGCATTATGGCTTCATAAACAATCGCAAAATATAATGATATTCTATTATGTAATGAGACATGACAATGCACTTCAGTAGTTACAGTGCCCTCCACTAATTTTGGCACCCTTGATAAATATGAGCAAAGAAGTCTGTAAAAAAGTGTCTTTATTGTTTAACCTTTTAAATCTTTGATGAAAAAATACACAAAAATATTCTGCTCTCATGGATATTAAACAATTGAAAACAACACAGGTTTATAAAAAAAATAAAAAAAATAATGGTTAAATGTGTCGTGCAGTTATTGGCATCTTTTTAGTCAATACTTTATGCTACCTCTTTTTGCCAAGATTAGAGCTCTGAGTCTTCTGCTATTATGCCTGATAAGGTTCGAGAGTACAATGAAAGGGACCTGAGATCATTCCTCCTGAACAGAATCTCATCACATCCTTGAAATATTGAGGTTGACTTTAGTGGACTATCCTCTTCAGTCCACCCCACATGTTTTCTATGGTGCTCAAGTCCGGGGACTGGAGTGTCCTTGCACAACCTTGATTTTGTGGTTAGTAAATTGCTTTTGTGTTGATTTTGATGTAGGTTTTGAATCATTGCCATGCTGGATGATCCAAAAAAAGTGTAGGTGCGCAAACAGTTAAAAGATCAATTAGATAATATATGATTACTTCCCAAGATATCCAAACAATTAAGTGTGGGATAGAAATATTATTTTAAAACCACATGTGTGTCACAAACCACATGAAGTGACAATAGAACAAAAAAATACTTGCAATTCCTTGAATGGCTATGTCACAGGTATCTATAAATACATAAATAAAATAAACCTAGTGCAATACAGTCTGTATACCAATCTTAATAAGTACACTCTGTAGATGTTTAACTCACAAATGTTGAGTGGTTATGGTACCACTCCAAACTATCCAGCATAGGGAGGATCAGACCCTTGAGATCGTTGTATCCTATTATGGGAGTCATCACCAACCGGAGGACAACCAAACAATCCAGCATAGGGAGGATCAGACCCTTGAGATCGTTGGATCCTATTATGGGAGTCATCACCAACCGGAGGACAACCAAACTATCCAGCATAGGGAGGATCAGACCCTTGAGATCGTTGGATCCTATTATGGGAGTCATCACCAACCGGAAGGTAAAAGCAGAAAACACTTTATTGCCAAATGTAAATTAAAACTTGCAAATAAAACCAGCATGGAAAGCTCACTGTTGTAGAAGCTGGTAAGCAGAGTCCTGGATAATATGGGTTGATCAGTCCAAGCGTCCTCTTATTATCTCCCTGCCAGTATCTCTCTCTCCAGCAGACAGGCAAAAGCTGATGTCAGCGTGTTGCATTGTACTTCCTGGTTGTGATGTAGTCCATTGCTACGCGTTTCGTCCCGCCTCTCAGGACTTTGTCAAGCACAAATGAGACTTCCCACCAGTGTCTGTTTTATGTCTCTAAGGTAACCCAATGTCCGTTCTCTTAAAGTTCCCACATTAAAAAAAAAAAAAAATCCGTTATAATATTAATGTGTTTATATATCCTTCTACAACATGTAATTGGTAAAATTTCCTAATATTAATAGCAGCATTCCAAGATAATAATAACCAGATCTCTTAAGTTGACCATATAAGAATATAAATGGTATGACAATTATAACACTAAATTGATAATCATTATGCAGCAGGCAACTTTTACTGAATACAAAGTAAAAAAAATAGATAAAATTGAAGATTATATTAGCTTTAGTGTACTAATAATCTTAATTTTAGTAATGACAGGAGGCAAATATTTGCATATCTTTCTTTACTGAAAACTCCAGCAGCATAGAAACAGTAACAACCAATCAGAGAAAAGATATGGTGCCCATAAGAGGCCCTGTCTATGACATCACTTCCTCTTTCTTTGAAGCGAAACAATAAATAACAACAAGAGACATAATAATATTACGTCAACAGTTCAACAACATATTAGAATATCCAACTCCAGTAGTTCCGCGATGCAGAGGTATGGAAGGTGAATCTTTGTCTCAATGAGAAGACGTTGACGCTGCAAGAAAAAGAAAAAGGTGAAAGGTATCTGGCGTGATAACTTGTCCGCATACAATAAGCATTAAGCATCTGATATACCAACGAACATTAGAATGTGAAACATATCAATGTATATTTATTCTAAAGCAATGATATTTAAGAATCTATAAACACAACATAATACAAGGTTCATGTCTAATATTCAACCTATCCAAGATCCACAAGATACAGGTCTAAGTAGCAAACATACAAACCATACGTACTTACCTTCCTGAACATAAAGGACATATTCTGTTCAACACGAGAAACATGGGAGGGATCCTATAGGGTGGGAAATATTTACCTCCTGTCATTACTAAAATTAAGATTATTAGTACACTAAAGCTAATATAATCTTCAATTTTACCACATGACAGGAGGCTTCATATTTGCATTTTTAAAGCTTCGAATTGACCAATGTGAAGGAAGCATGATATGTTTGTCGAAATAGAACGTTCTAAACGTACTCTCTCGCGCTCAGTCCGCGCAGAGTATAATGTCAGCTAGGGAAGCGTCGGCCGAAAAGGTTTGTGAGGCCGCCGCTCACTGACCAAGTGGGCTCCGAAACAAGGTTCGATGCCCGCTAAAGACAATAGCCAGCGGACCCATCTGGCCAGTGTTGCGGTAGACACCGGTCCATGAGGGTTCACGTGAGAAGTCAGAAGGTGACCCGTCGAATGAGTTCGAAGGGGTAGAGATATCGGTGTACCCCATTAGCGTTCTGACCACGCATAGTGTGGCGTCTGACACAAAGTATGGGTATGACACTGAAGACGGATCGGACTCGACATGGTAAAGGTAACCTGTCTGGGTGAGAGAGAAACCATCCATATCATAAGCCCTAACGTCTGCCACCCATCTAAATGAGGCGAGGCATAATAAGAGGGCTAGTTTGGCTGAAAGTTTTTTCAGTGACAAACAAGGATTGTCCGGCCATACACTAAGGAATCTCAGTACCACATCCACCTGCCAGAGGCGTGAATACTTGGGTGCCGGGGTCTCGACAATTCGGCACCCCGTAGTAGTCAACAAACCAGTGTATCTTGACCTATTGGTCTGCCCTGTACCGGAACGTGTGCCGCCGATATGGCGGATCTGATCACGTTGAGGGGTCGATATGACCGACCCAATGAGACCAGGTGTGACAGATAGTTGAGTATCAGTAGGACAGGTGCGGTAAAGGGATCAGAATCCCTTTCCACACACCTATCACTCCAGACCGACCAGGCAGAAATATAGCCTTTCCTGGTGCGTGGAGCCTATGAGTCCCATAGGAGGTCTTAGTTGATGCAATAGGTCGTGAACCGACCAGGAGCCCCTGAAATCGTCCAGGCAACTAGTGCAAGTTGTCCTTCCATGACAAGGGAGTGGGCTTCCCCTCAAGGTCCCGTCGGAAGTAGAGGGAAGGTAGGGAGTAGTAGAGGGTCTTCGCGAGACATCTCCAGGCAATCCGGGAAACCACGGTTGGCCCTGTCCGAGGGGTGTCCTGAGCAGGAGCGATATCTTGTGGGTGCGTGTGTATCGAAGCACCCTTGCTATTGTTGAGAACGGCTGGGTCACGTTTGTAGGGGTTCATCCATCGCTTTGTATCCAAAGGAAGAGTCAAAGATCGTTTTGCCAATCCAAGTTTGTATGTGAAGTAATCACCTTCGAAATTCCGTCCTCCCTTCTGCTGACAGTGGTATCCAGTGGTCGTATGAGTGACCGGTGCGTACGTATCTCGTCGTTGAATGGCCCTGTAGTTTACTGGCCAGGGAATATCGCTTGTATGGAGGAGAGGAGAGGAATCCCACAATCCGGCGAGTATCCTGAGAGGAACCGCATCCAACCTTAGAGCGTGTCCAACAGCTATCCTTATAGAGGCGCTCTTTGCCGTGGATCGACGCAGAACGTAGTTCTCCAAGCCGATGTCGAAACCGAGGAACTGGCCCGATTCAGATGGAGAAGCGATCTTTGTCTGTGTACTACAAAAAACCCATGGAGTCCCGAAAGTGAACGACAAATTGTCTGCAAACGTAGCCTGGATTCGTAAAGAGTCAGCAAGTCTTCAGGGTATACAAGGCATCGCACCCCCAAATTTACTGATGTGTGCCCTCACTGGTTTCAGTAGTTTCGCGAGCACCACGGAGTCGTAAAACTGCCATGTTTGTCCTCACCATTGGAATCGGAGGAAGCTTCGGCAGTCCTGGTCAACGGGTACCGACAACCGTGCGTCCTTGAGGTCCAGATGTGTAAACCAGTCGTTATCGCTTAGGAGGTCCTGTAGAAGACGAATTTCCTCCAACTTGAAGCATTTGTATACCACGTAGGAGTTCCATTGATGTAGTCACCTGGCTTCTTCTTGACCAGGAAACATTTTTTGCTGAGGAAGCCTTCCCCTCCGGTGCATGTTGAATTGCGCCCTTCTTGAAGAGGGTGTGGATTTTCTTGTCCACGAGATGTTCCGCCAGCGTGCGCAATGGAGGTGAAGGGGCGACCTGAACGGCTGTGATAAATAACTATATGACATAGTCTTGTACTGTCTGGAGAACCCAGGTGACTTTGGTAGTCATCTCCCAAAACTGTAAAATAGAGACAGGTTGCCGGTCATAAAATTGGAAACAGTTAGTTATGTAGGTTGACTCACTAGTAGATGAAGCGGATGGGGTCCTTTGTGTAGTAGATGGGAGAAATATGAGGACTGTGTATACGATCAGGACCCTGTCGCCCAGAAGTGGCTGGTGGCTCGGTTCCGTTACCGACCAGCCCTCCCAAAAACACCTTTCCCCGTAGGGGTGTGGAAGACTTGTTTTAGCAAGGTCTTATTAATTTTAGCGAGGTTTAATTTAGTGTGTGAATTAATACACGTGTTTCTTGAGTACTGCAATGAACACTATGTCGAATAGTAGGCCTTGTGCTTTTGGGCCGAATTCTTGTCGTTCCTAAGTCCAATAGTGTGTTGTCGATGCGGACCAGTACAGATTTGCATCTGTCGGCGCATAGTGCATCATTTGCATTGCCCAGGAAGCATATCGAGCATCGAGCCCATTCTCTGGAGGTGGTAGGGTTGTGTACCCTGGTTGAGTGCCAGATCCGCAAAATAGAGTATCTTGCAATCAAGCCTGGTAAATCAAGTACTTTATCGCGTGTCGACCTCAGGCCATACTCCCCACCATTGCGGGGTTTCGTCCTGAGCGAGCAATGAAGACTACCACAGTGTTGTTGAGCTTGGACGCAACTGCCACTTTGTCTGGTAGCAGTGGTCTGGGGTATTCGGTCTGGAGGCGTGCGCATACTTCCATCCCAGAGGGTTGCGCAGCCAATAGTGTTCGTCCAGGAACGTTCCGTCTTCAGCTACTCTGGTTTAGTGCCACTACTGCTATCTCTGCCTCAGCCGCCGTCACAGAGTAAGGTTTCCCTAATGTACTTCGAGGAAGTGTGGGGTAGGTCTTGCCGTTCCACTTCCTCAGACGGTGAGCTGTCTTCGTGTCACTCATCTACCATGTCCAAAGTATGTGGTGGGTAATAGCCTTCTTTTTCTCGGAAGATTGTGGCAGACGGGGTTTGGATTCCCGGTGCTCCACCTATTTGGTCTGTTCGATGGGCGTCTTGCCCTTGACCTTAGTGGCAGGGGGGCTGGAGCCCTTCCCTTGCCGTTTTGACTTGAAGGCTTGTGGACCTGAGGTCTCCATCAAGCGGTGTGGGGCAGAGCTCATAACAGAACCTTCTCCACTGAGGCCGCTACTGCGGCGTTTATCATTTCCTAGAAATCTTGGGAAGGTTGAGACTGTCCATCATGACTCGTTCCTGTCCTGATGGGAGACAGTGGGAGTAGTGTGTGAGGGTCAGCACGTAGGGGTGCAAGACTCCTGGTAGAACTGGGGATCACTCAGGTAAAACGGTTTGAATTGCCTGCTTTAGTTTGTCTGAGAGTATGAACACTTGTGCCAAGTGTAGAGGGGTCACCTCTATAGTTTAATCTGGCTACTGAGAGCCGCGGTGCAGGCGCAATTGACTGGTAGTGGTGTTGGTCTGGCTAGCCGGGTTCACCACAAATGTACGCCAGAGCTGTATGCACGATTTTTAACTATACAGGCTTATTATATAGGCGCGTGGGGCCTGTCTCCATAAGGTCTGCAGCCGCAGGACCCATGTCTATTCGGCTGGGTTCATCCCAGGTGGTGTGCCATGGTAACCCAGAGGACACCCATATTATAATTATTAGCACCTTACAAGCATTGCATGCATATCTGGGGGTCACCCCAGGTGGTGTGCCATGAAAAATTACCCAGAGGACACCCACGTTCAATATGTCCACTAGGCACAGTAAATATACATATATGTATCCCTGTGAAGGGTACACCGTAATACCCTCAGTTTCCTTAGTGATCCTGCCGTCAAATCGTATCCGGCATGGTACTGTTGCTTTAATGTAAAACTGACAGGCAGTGTTTAAACATCCATATATGTCTGTAGTAATCAGTGGTAAAGTTGAGGCGTAGGCCTCCGTGCATATGATCGGGGTTCACCCCGGGTGGTGTGCCGTGGTAACCCAGAGGACACCCACATCAAAGGTAATGGTCTGTCAGTGACCTTGCATGCATATCTGGGGGGTCACCCCAGGTGGTGTGCCATGAAAAAGTACCCAGAGGACACCCACATAAATTTGCACCGTCGGGTACAGTAATATAATATGACCCTCTGTAGGGTACAATAATGTAATATAATATACCCTGTGTAGGGTACAGTAACGCAATATGCCCTTGGAAGGGTACAGTGAGATAGTTGATTCTGTATATGTCACAGTAATTGTTTGTATAGTAATAGTGGTATTGTATGGACTGAACCATAATACATTTAAATTGTTTGCAAGCTCAACATAATCATCCAGTGTAAGGCACTAAGGGAGAGTTAAATCCATGTGGCATTCACAGCAGAGAAGAAAATGTTTTATTTCAACCAAGAACGAAAGTGCCTAGAGAGGGGGACCCCTGAAGGGGTTAATGCAGCTGCAGGGAGCGGTGATCGGGTGATACCCGAAGCGCCGCGTGAGCAGGGAAGGTGGCCGTCGTGGGTCTCGCAAGCCGCGAGATCCAAGATGGCCGCCAGCCGCGTGTAGCAGGCTTACTCGCTTGCTGCCGCGAGTAAGCAGAAAAACACGGCGGAAGAAAGCAAAACCGCCCCGGCCACCCTCCACCCGTCCCCACACAGTCCCCTGAGTGTCAGCAGGGCAGGTCCACGCAGCGAGCGCGGCACGGACAGCCGTGACGCCCGCGGGCCGCCCGACCAAAATTAGATAAAGTGGTAGTAACACACTGAATATGGGGAGACAGGGGGACAGGGAAGGGAGCAAGGAGCAGTAGATGGATAGATATTTAGTTACAAAGTGAAGGTAGAGTAAAAATATATAAATACATCAGAGAGGTAAAAATACTCTGACCTGTTGTAGGCTGGAGCAGCAAAGAAAGAGGAAGTGATGTCATAGACAGGGCCTCTTATGGGCACCATATCTTTTCTCTGATTGGTTGTTACTGTTTCTATGCTGCTGGAGTTTTCAGTAAAGAAAGATATGCAAATATGAAGCCTCCTGTCATGTGGTAAAATATATTTTATTCTTCAATTGCAAGGTCAAAAAATAAAATGAAATAGAATGAAATCAACCCTCAGCATCAAACAGTTAAAAATCAATTAGGGGCATATCGCTTAAGTTACTAAAAGATACATATGTTCAAAGCATACTAAAAGATGAATATTCTCAATAAAAGATAATAATGCATGTAAAATCAATGTATATACAACAGCAAATTGATATCTGGAGGGGAGTTTTATTAAACCACCTAAATCACATGAAATTAAATAGATCAAAATCTATATTTAGGCTGGCTGGGGTTAAAGTATCCATATTGTACACCCATTTCATTTCTTCCCTGCTGATTTTTTTGATAAAATCTCCACCTCTCCAGTCTTTAAAAACCTGTTTAATACCTAAGAATTGTAAGCCTTTAGGGTCTTGGTTGTGCACTCATCTAAAGTGATCCAAGACTAGAGATGTCGCGAACTGTCCGCCGAACTGTTCGCAAACTGTCCGCAGATGAACAGTAGCGTGTTCGCGTTGGGCGAACATATCCGATTTCCGGTCCGCCCCCTATACGTCATCATTGAGTAAACTTTGACCTGGAACCTCACAGTCAGCAGACACTTCCTGGGAGGGAGGGTCTGCTGCTGATTGGGTGGAATGTGTCTGCTGGCTGTGAGGTTCCGTGTCAAAGTTTACTCAATGATGACGTATAGGGGGCGGACCGGAAATCGGATATGTTCGCCCAACACGAACACGCTACTGTTCGCCGGCGGACAGTTCGTGAACAGTTCGGCGGACAGTTCGCGACATCTCTATCCAAGGCACTATGACTAATTACTCCCTTACGTATGTTATATATGTGTTCCCGGATTCTTTTGTTTAGTGGGCATGTAGTTCTCCCAATATATTATTTATTGCATGGGCATTGTAATAGATATATGACA